TCTGCACTCTTCCTAGAGCCTCAACATCTTTTTAATAGTGTGGTGACCAAAACTGGATGCAGTACTCTACGTGTGGCCTTACTAAGGCTTTACAGAGTGGTATTAGGACCTCCCTTGATCCTGATTGTATCCCTCTGATAATGCAATTTAGGATTGCAGGGCCAGCAGCCTTCCACACAGGGATGGGCGCAAGCTGGAATTCCAGAGGTTGCAACCCAGAAGAACTGCCTTGCAGGAGGTGATTGAGTTTAAGAGCTGTCTCTTAAAGAGACAGGTGATGAAACGGGGGCTGGATGTTTTCCAGCGCCAGAACAAGCCCAAAGGTGGTTCTGTGTTTGGCCGAATATCAGTTTCCGGGTCCCCTGGGTGCGCATCTGCCAAGCTCCTCCCCTCCCCTCCCTCCGACCTTTGGCTTTTTCTCCGTTTCTGACGCCCTCCCTTTCGCCAGCCAGATGTGTAGGATCACAGCTCTCACCCTTCCCCACCGGCCCCCGGGGCCCTTGCAATCCAGCGCATCTGGAAGCAGCCAGTGAGCTGTGAATCCGCCTATAGTTCGTTTCATCGCCGTTTCAAACGCGGTTCCCAAAGAAGCCGGCCGTGGCTGTTCGCACGTCAACAGTCCCCTCCCGTCAGCTGGGATCCATTTGCGCCGCTCTGCTTGGTGCATGGAAAGCCGCGGAGAGGCCCCTGAGCATGGGCAGAGAGCCCATGCTGGTCTCTGCAGCTTCGGGGGGGGGGTTTCTCCTCCACCCCCTCCAAACCGACCCGCAGCTGTTTCTGCTAAATTTCGTAACAATAAACCGGGGAAGGTCTCACTTGCCAGGACAATAAACCAGAGAGGTGGGGGGAGTTTTTGCATCACCAGATTTTGGGAGAGGAGGGGGGGTCCCTCTCCCTCCAGAGGGGGGAGGGCGGAAGGGGGGGGGGGGGTCAGAGGAGGGAGGAAGAAGGGCTGTGGACAGGGAGCCCCTTCCCCCATGGGGGCTTGCTGGCCTCCCTCCCCCTCTCCCCCCCCATGACTAATTCACAAAGTCGTGTCCTTGTGTGCGAAGGCAGCTCCTCCTCGGGGGTCTTGCATGAAGGGTGGGGAAGGGGGCCAAGGACCTTCCTTTGAAGTCTGACCCCCTGCCTTGAAGTCTGACGGGGGTGTGTGAAAACCCTCCCCCCCCTTCCTCGATTAAGGCTGATGGATTGATTGAAATGGTCCTGTAGGGTCCCCTGCTCAAGCGGGGGGCTGGACTAGAAGACCTCCAAGGCCCCTTCCAGCTCTTTTCTGATGGATGGATGGATTGAATGACATGGTAGAGCGTCTCCTGCTTGATCAGACCTGCCTTAACTCTCCCCTCTGCCTTCTTTCAGGTGCTGGATTCGGCCTAGGTGTGGTCTTCTCCGTCATCTTCTTCAAAAGTGAGTGAGGGTCGTATTCTCCGGCCTCTTCCGCACCGGCCCTCGGTCCAGCCCATAAGGCTGGGCAAGGGTCAGCACCCCCCAAGGCTGGCCTGGGCTTTCCCCCCCCCCCCCCCCCACCCCCGTCTGCCCTCGGAGATACGGCCACCTCGGCGTCCTTTTCCAGGGACCCACCGAGAGATCCTCGCCGCCACTTCCAGGCGATCGGCCGTGTTCAGGCGGGGCTTGGTTATCTCCGGGGCTTCCCCTCCACCCTTTGTTTAGGCTTGCAAGAGTGGCGTCGCCTACGGTGAGGAGGGAATCTGGTGAGAAAGTACAGGCGGGTTTTTTGGGGAAGAGAAACTGGGCGCGTATCTCGCTCGGGGCGCTTGGTGTGCCTTGGGACGGTTTAAATGTTGAACTAAGCGCAAAGAAATGCTGCAGCTTCGCTGGTTGCGGGCACACGGCCTTGCCAAGTGGTTAGGAGACTGGCAAAGGCTTGGATAAACACCTGGCCGGCCTTGCCAAGTGGTTAGGAGACTGGCAAAGGCTTGGATAAACACCTGGCCACCTAACCTAGCGTGTACACCCAGGGCAGCTAACCAATTTCGATGGGTGTTTTGAAAAAAAAAAAAGACAAACCCTGAATCTGAAATGGGGAACGAGCAGTATTCAAAACGAGCCAAGCCTGGTGGTGAAAGAGAGATGCACCTCAGATTAACAGAACAACAGAATGGGAAGGGACCTTGGAGGTCTTCTAGTCCAACCCCACCCACCCAAGCGGGAGACCCCCTACACCATTTCTGAAAAGTGGCTGTCCAGTCTCTTCTCGAAAGCCTCCAGTGAAATGAAGCCCCCACAACTTCTGTTCCACGGGTTGATTGTCCGGGTTGCTCCTCTCCTTAGTTTCCATCTATTTTCTCTTGTCCTGCCTTCAGGTGATTTGGAGAATAAATCGAGCCCCCTCTTCTTTGCGGCAGCCCCTCAAAGGCTGGAATGACGTTCCCCGCTGGTCCTTCTTTTTTCCCTAGACCAGTTCCTGCAACCCGTTCTTCGTATGTTTTATTCTCCGGGCCTTTAATCGTTTTTAGTTGCTTTTCTCTGCCCTTTTCCCAAAGTAACAACACCTTTGTTTTGTAAGGAGGCGAAATCGGCATCAACACACTTCACACCGTGTGTCTCAAAAGGCCAAAGAGAGGGAGGCACCTCAAGGCAGCTCCAACAAAGACTTGCTGGTTTTGCCTTGCTGGTCTCTGTCTCTCTTGTCTCTCTCTCTCTCTCTCCGTCTCTCTGCCACCCCCTCTGCCCTTCCAGGGCTTTCTGACTGTGGCAGGCAGGGCAAAGGGCCTTTCTGGGGCCTTGTGTTCCTTAACGGCTTATTTCCCTTTTCGTGGCAGGAAAGACCTGGCCGCTCGCTTTCGGCTCGGGGATGGGCCTAGGAATGGCATATTCCAACTGCCAACACGACTTCCAGGCCCCGTACCTTCTCCACGGGAGATTCATGAAGGTGAGTCGAAGAGGCTCCTCGGGGGAGCGGAAGGCCCGCCCGCCCGCCAGACCCTTTTAATTCCTCGGCCTTCCGGCGATGCCCACCTGGGGAATCCCTGCCTGTCCCGGGTGCCTTTAGTCCACTCCGTCGCCCAAGTTTACCTGCCGTCGCAGGTGGGAAAAGAAGGGGCGGGTAAGCTGGGGCCCGAATGAACCCCAACCAAGAGGCTCCCCCCCCCCCCGGGGGGGGGGGGGAATAATAGCACACCCACCCTGACCCGCGTTTTGCTCCGATTTGGCACCGCAAGAAAAGGCGTCTGGTTTCTATTGGATTTGGGAGATAAAAGGGACAAACTCCCAGAGTGGAAGTGGGAGGTCTGGAAAGTTAGAAACAGGCTTTTGGGGGTGGGGGGGCTTCCCTTCTTCCCCTTAGCCTGGCCTTCCCCTCTTATTGATCCCATCCCTCTCTCTCTCTCTCTCTCTCCACCTTGGCTTCATTGTTCCTTGCCCATCTGCCCCTAATTAATTCTTCTTTTTCCCACCCCCCACCCCGTCCTGCGCTGGAGGGAACCTTCCCTGCTCCGTGCTTCCCCTTCTGGCATCTTTAGACATCTGTAGGGCGGCTGAGTAGGGGAGATGGAGGGGGGGGGAGCGTTGGCCCCCTGCCAGGGATTTGGGGAGGGGGAGTGAGGCTTTGTAAACGGAGTGCTGGGCCCTCTCAGCTGGCCTGGCCCTGTTTCCCCCCCCCCCCACAAAAAGGAGGAAAGGGTTGTGGCCCGGGGGGAAGCGCATATGGAGACCTTCTACCACGTCCTAAAGGAAGGGTCCCCAAACTTGGCAGCTTTAAGACTTGTGGACTTCAGCTTCCAGAATTGTCTCCTGCCAACACATCCTTCCCCTTTCGCTCCTCTTTATTCCCTATCGGAGGGGCCATTCACTATCCACCTGAGCCTTTACTCCTTAGTTGACCTTTGTTCCTCAACTGTTCCCTTCTCCTGGCAGCTCTGCGCATGCGCACACTGGGAACAG